TTAGCACTTCGCTGCTCTCTTTGAATACTAGACATAAGTTTCTTTCAGTTTAATGTAGAGCAAATAAAGCTTATATCTCATATTTGCAATATAATTTTTCAATGTACTGTTATTTTGATATTAAAATGGTAAAATAGATTGATGTAATATATTGATGGGTCTCTTGATGTCGTTCTTAAGATGAAAATATTGATGATGCTTCACTGGGCAATGATGATGATGATGATCCTCTTGCGATGAATGAATTTAGGGCTTCACTGGGCCATGAGATGAGGATGATGCCTCAATGAGCGGTGCATATGATGATAATTTTCTTGCGATGAATGAAGATAATGCTTCCTTGAGCAATGCGGATGATAATGATTTTCTCACGATGAATAAAGATAATGCTTCCCTGAGTGATGTAGATGATGATATTTTCTCGCGGTGAATAAAGATAATGCTTCCCTGAGTGATGTACATGATGATGATTTTCTTGTGATGAATGAAGATAATGCTTCCTTGAGTAATGCAGATGATGCCTCCCTCGTATCGAATGAAGATAATGCTTCATTGAGGAATGTAGATGATCTTCTGGTTGGAGATAACGTCTCATTCGACACTACAATATAAATAACTATCAGAACAAATATATTATCATGCTAGATAATACGATGTAGATGAACGTCCTCTAGATATTTCTTATTGTTGGAAAACGACAATATTGCTTTTCTTCGAGACTTTCATTTGTTTCATCTTTGAACATTTGCATGTTTATTAATAGATCTTGCCTTGCTGAGAATTTGAGTGAATTAATGCTACTCATATTCCCAATTCCTTGGTATAAGAAACAAGAAAAATTTTCCTGCATCTATAGAAAAATTGTTAGTTTAAAATGAACTGATCTGTGTCGATCTCTTCTGTTGTCTGCTCCTATTTTTTCTATTTCCAGTTGATTTCTCCGATCTCCCGCTTCTTGATAGATAAGATGAAGTATTTTTATGTAAAAATAATTGAAACATGAAAGAAAGTTTTAAGAAAAATAGGTTTTCAAAAAGTAATATTTGAGAAAGGTCACTGCCAAGTGTCATGTCACGTCAAGCTTAGTGAACGCCTTTGGAGTTGATGCTTCGTGGTCTATCTGTTAACTTGCTGGAAAGATTCTAGAGATTCTTGAAGTTTGGGTGATCTTACTCTTGAAATGTCAAAGATTGTTGAGGTTAACTTTTGATCTCATAATGGACTTGGGGATCATTTGAAGTTACTTCCAAACTTTTGATCATGCTGAAGATATTCAAAGTTGTTCCAAACTTTCGATGAACCCTATTGAAATTTTTGAGGTCATCTTCAAAAATTGTTGTCCCAGTTAACTGTCTTGGTGTATCTTGAACCTTTGATGAACGAATCATGGAATTTTTGAGATCTTCACAATAGTTCTGTCCAGTTGCAATTCTCAACGTAACCTCAGTCTTGACTTGTTGGAAAGATCTTCTCCTTGAGAAATTTTGAGTCCCTCTAAAAAATTATGTCCCAGTTTTTATTGTAAATAAAGATAGAAATATTACGGGAGATATTACTGAACCGTTATGGTACCTACGTATCTCGTTGAGGCAGGAATCAGGTCAAATGTAGTTCCCCCCTTGAGGATTAACAGAAATAAGAAATTTTAATAAGGAAATGACCGAGGCCAACATAGGCCACTTACATATCTCATTCTTGAGAATTCAGGTCGAGCATAGTTCAAGTACAAAGAAAAATACATTAAAAGGGATAAAGGGGGTGACTGAGGCTGGCACGGGTTGCCTACGTATCTTATTCTTGAGAATTCAGGTCAGACATAGTTCATTACAAAGGGCAAACTTTCTAAACATAAACGGTTACAAGCGAATAAAACGGTTACAAGGAAATGTTAGGAATATGTCACGACCCGGGAGTACCCCCTAGACGTAACATGGCGTACTTGACCCCAAAGGGGTCTCATACAAGCCTCTAGCATCATCATTACATAAGACATAGAAAATAATGCAGAAAATTTAAAACTTTACAATCGAAGTTCAACTTCACTTTTCATAAAAGAAAGTAATAGGAAATCTAGACTTTGTCTCATACACTATCTAAAACATAAGAATACAAAGTTTGGGACTTAGCCCTTTACATCAACAAAAGTCTCAATACACGAGATACAAAATGAACTATGAAATAGGAAATCCCATCCTCGAATTGGAGGATTCACCACAACTTGGAGAAAAGCAAATCCAAGTCTTCTTCAAAGGAGAGTGAAAGTCACCTAGCCGGAACCTACACTCATTAAGATGTAGAATAAAGAAGGGGTTAGCACATAATATGTACTAAGTATGGAAACATGCATAAAATCCTTAAATATGATAAAAATGACATTTTCATTTGAAAGAATGCATTTATGAAGTTTGGAAACCAACATGCATTTACAACATACAATACAAACCATAATCACACTTACACTGATTACATGAAAATATCAACCCTTAGCAACCCCTAAGGAACACTTGTGCAATGTATGGTTGGCATCCCATAATACCAACCCTACTAAGCACCCCTTTGAAGCTACCTTGGTCATGCACATCATCTTTAAACCTCATCATAATCATTAATCACAATTATATAAAGTGCCATGTACATTACTTAAATACAAGGGAAGTCATTCACAACAACTATTCATTCAATACACATGCATACATTGAATCTCATCACAATATAAAGGAACCATCCTACAACATCCCACTAAGTCTACTTGTGCAATGTGAGAGTGAAGTCCCATACCCCCACTCCTGCTAAGTAAACTTGCCAAGAAGTTATAGTGTAGTTCATGTCTCATTCATTATCTTTCATTTTGGGAAGAATAGCCATAACCGACATAGACCATGTGAGCTACATGGAAAATCTGGTGTCATGTAACCCCATACCAACAGAGGTGTTCTACTTGCCTAAGGTAAAACTAAATGTATAGCTATAAGGTGGATCCACTAGCTAA